TCATCATTGGAGACGAGGTAAGTGTTGTGATGTCCAACCCGAAAATATTGGTCATATCCATTGATTTAGTGGTAGATAGTTAAGGTTAAGAGCCGTCTGGACCCACGGCCATAAATAAACATCAAAGAAGTGTGTAGAGTTTGTTTATGTTAACATCTGCGAAGCTCTGAGACGGCTTGCGCTAAGCTGATCCCGATTGAGCTGTATAGTTTTGAATACAAAGCAATGGGGGCATTTTTGGCGTCCCTGTCGAGCCTTTCTTTATGGGCCGTATGCTGAATGTTGGGGAGGGGACGGGGATGGGTGAACGTTGGGGAGGTTCGTCGCAGGACCCACTGGGCAACGGTCGCACCTTTGATTTTGCAGCTTTGTTTCCATTCTTTCATCGCTGCTTTTGGTGTAAAGAAAGGTATTTACGTGCGAATATACAATCAGAAACAGTAAAAGGATGGAAACAAAGCTGCAAAATCAAAGGTGCGACCGTTGCCCAGTGGGTCCTGCGACGAACCTCCCCAACATTTACCCATCCCCGTCCCCTCCCCAACATTCAGCATACGGCCCATGGTGGTTGCGAAGAGAGATAGTCACCTGGCAAGAGGGCTGGCTACTGATGTACCCTCTGTCGTCTTCACTAGAAGTAAAAACGAAAGAGCTATTATCTAAGCCTGTTGACCTGCTTATCGATCCCTCGTAGGATCGTGAGCGTTGGTACTACTCCTATCAGTTTTGCGTTTTTATGACTCTGGGCTAACCCTGGAATTCTCCTGTCCCTCATGGAGGCACAAGGGCCAGGAATCAGAACGCAAGTATGCGATCTATGCTCATCCCCATAACTGAACCTGAGATGTGACTAAGCTCTGTTAATAATCGACTTATTGCAAGGTTATTAGCATTGGGTCCTGGTTGGAAAGCCATTATGCCTTATTTTGTCGTTTTACCTTAGGCTTTCATTTATAACAATAACTCTTGCGTTTATGTCTATAGATCGTGCATTTGAAAAGTAGTAAATTCTGCTGCTCGAGTAAAGAACAATTGCCGTCCATTAAGAAAATGAGGGCTATGACCTTCACAGCGCATAGGTGCACTCTTATACAAATCTCGCCGAGCTACTGAATGCCATCTAGATAGTCGTCGTAGTACGAGCTTGTCACATCCAATGCCGTAATAGCTCGTCCATCCGTGCGAGGTTTACGGTCGGTGGACGACGATGACGTCAGTTATGTGGCTGGCGGAATCAAATGTACAGGCAGGCATGCGTTGGCTGTCCATGGTGACGTGCGTCAACAACGCGCAAGACGGCCTCCATCTCCAGCGTAAGCCATCCAGCGCTAATCTGTACGTCTTTGTCGGTACGTCGGCCGTGCGTAGGAATTTTGTGGTCGCAAATCCGCAAAAATTGCCCTGTATTAATCCGCTGGAGCGCGATTGTTGCGTACCGGTAATGTGCGGCTTTGAAAGGACGGTGGCGGCTTGTCTTCAAAGAAGGATGCGGTGCGATTTGAAACCCTCCTCGGCCCCATTCATTGTGCTGTTTGGATGCCCAACGTAACTCGAAACCACCCGCTGAGACAGCCGGATCCGAGTGGGCAGCCGTCAGTCGTAGTGAAGGCGACGGCCAGGGTTGTTGGCTGACTGTCGGATCGAATTTGTCGTTCTGAAGAGTCGAAATGTCAGTGGAAAATGGTGCGAGAATGCGTGTCTCGTTTTGTGTTTGTCTTATACAAGTTCCGTCGAGCAGCTCTCCACGATCCGCCTCATTTATTAGCGAACACATCGCGGCTGGGGTGGCCAATGTTTGCAGAAGAGGAGGCAAGGGTCATTCAGAGCTACGAGTTACATCCTGTGTCGTTCCGTAAGTGATGGGGCAAGGGTCGCGCGTCGGGTCGATCTTGGGGTTAATGCTATGCGCCTAATTAAGATGGACAGGCACGTATCCGGCATTGTCATTAAGGTATAGTAGGGTCATATTTGTCATGGAATCGGAGGTGAGAGATGAGATGATGGGTTTGGTGTCATCTGTATAAGACATGACCTTGGAATAAAAGGGTTCAGCGAGGCGGAGCCTACTTGAGGGGATGTCGATGGCAAGAAGCTCCGAGACTGTAAAACTAGGGTGGAATCCGGATTGGACAGCTGCAAGTAAGCTGATTGGTTGTTGAATTACCAAATCCTATCCGCTTGATTTCTCCAGATGGGACAAGTTTTATGCTTGTTCGCATTAGCTTCAACGGTATGGGATGTTCCTCGAAATGAGGCAATGAGGCATTGTCGTCCGTATGGCGACTTTTGGAGTTAGCATGACTAGGAATCCGAGCACAGTAGTAAATAAAACGAAATACCAAGGCTGTTGTGAGCAATCTCATGGTATAAGGATTCCATTTGGTTTTTCCGTAGTTGCAACAAAGTTTCGGTGCTGTTCCGAATTAGTCTATGGTATGAATGTTTTTATAGCGTTGGGACGAATTAATGAAGGCATTGTCAGCCTTACAATGGTTGCTTGACTGGAATTCGCATTAGTTGAGGTGAATCTTAACAGCACAGGGTTAAGGTATTGTGCGGACCCTGTGACTGCTCGGTTTTACGAAGCTACAGAATTTTGTCATTAAGGCAAGAAATCGATGCATATCAAAGGATTTTAACAGACACAAACTTTGGAAAAGGATAAAGTTCGATGATGAAACCCTCGTATTTGGGACGGATAACAGACACAAACTTTGGAAAAGGATAAAGTTCGGTGATGAAACCCCTTCTTTGGGACGCGCCATGCATTCTACTTTCATTCAGAATTGTAGTGACCTTTTTTAATGCACATGGTCTATACATTGAGTTGCGGAGCAGCTGATGTACGAATTGGTTCGTCTTCCCAGACAACTCTAGTACAATGTAAGCAATCTCGTAGATATAGAAGCTAGGTTGATCTGGGTGTTTGACTTAGGGTTTGATCCCCGGACCGTGCACGTGGTAATCACTTCTCTCGCAACACATCTTCCGCCCTCCAACTGTACTTAATAATCATGTTCCCCATCAATATACTAATGAAATGCTACCACTAAGAGAAAGTAGCCATTCCAGCCTTTTTCTCAAACAAGTCGATACATCTCGGATCAAGTCAGCGTTCTATTATATTGTCATTTCAAAAATAAACTCTCTAAGCAGCCACCGAGAGAGCAGTATCTTCAAATAGTTTTTTTCTTGACCAAAAGGATAATTAGCGATTAAAGTCGAAGTGATACAATAAAGGATGCCAGTTAGCAGTTCTGCAATAAATACCGTCAAAAAAGGTTCAATGTCGGAATCTGGAATCCTTTTCGAATTACTGATAAAACTTTTGCGATCACCCAGTAGTTAAGTCTCGTTTTTATATAACCAATTCCTTGACTTTTCATTACGTATTTGTTTGACTGACAGATTAGAAATCTTCCTTTTCAAGTTAATTTGCGGCAGTTACCCATCAAATAGATCATTTGGTCTTGATGAAAAATGAATTTATGATACACTGCGCTTGAGAGAAGTGCATTTGACTTTACAAGATAAGTGTGCAGAAAAAAAAACCGTTGCTAGGGGCAACATAAATGCTTTTCATTTAATTGTGCGGAGCGTTGAGATGAATAACAAAGGTGCAAAGGGGCCCAAATATTGCTTCAGAAAGATTCTCACCTGAATCAGCGCTAAGTTTACCAACTGCTGGTCTAGAAAGTTGAATAGGGAAGCCGGGAATTTAGACGCTTAAGCCGAAGCTAGGTACGGAGTTCTTATCAAAATTCTCCAGAAAAGGGATGCTGGAACGCCACTTGTTCTTGGATTTACTGTTGATATGTTTTCCGTTTCCCCCTAAATGCATATATTTTCCTAGAACGACAATCCGATGCACGATGGAAAAATGCAGATCACTGTGAACTCGTACCTTGGCAAATTGAAGAAGACTCAGATTGGTCGAGTGTATGTGGAAGATCTGGATGATTGGGATTTGGGTGATAAGACGTTCACATGGAAGGAATCGTTGCCCGGCTTTGAGTTGTCACCAAAAGGAGAGGTAAGTTATATGAGCCCAAGGAAGTAACTGTATCTAGGCTGCTTCGCTGCTAAGCTTCGTGGTTGCAGATAACAATGGATGCCAACATGCCACCTGGTACCTATCATATGTCATCAAATGTGCACGATAATCTCCGAAATGAGAACGCTGTCGGATATGTGACCGTCAATGTCTGCTAGTACCGGAGGTCGCGTTCGTGAACCAGGTGAGATACTTTTTATTATATATTGTAAATTGGTCGTGTGCCAATTCACGCTGAACTGGATTTTGGTTACTTTTGAGCATCTGCTTTTTCCTGTAGTTGCCTACCGCCGCAATTTTCGCCCAGTTTCGGTTTACTTCTTTGTCTGTGGCAGCTCATCGCGTCATGCCCCAGCCCACTACCGCTCTTTCGCGCTTGTTCTCATGTACTGTGCAATGAGCTATTATCAGTACTGCTCCAATCAGATCTTTACCTACTTGAATGCGAATTCTTTTATTTTTATTTGTATAGCCTATTATTTCGTAATTTGAAGTCACCAGACGCCCAACATTGGGTAGTCTTGTCTGCTGCTGACCAGCGTCCTTTAGCCAACTCTTTCTAACCCCAGCGTGCCTGAGGATTTTGAGATGCATTATGGTTTTATAAAAATCTGCTGCAAAAATTCCTTTTTTCGCCCTCTATTTTTCTTCGTATACTTTTGCGCGCTCTGCTAATGTTGCTTGCTCGCCCCGTTATGTTGGCTGGTGCAGCTCGCTTGAGGTGATGTTCGCGTAATACCGCACGTGGAACTTTTCTGGTCACGTCAGAAAAGTAGAAAAAAGGGTGCATAAAATTTTGAGTAAAAAAAAATCAGTGTTCTGATTGAATAGTATGTTTACAGGGATCGATGCAGTTGTTGCTTGGTGAAGATTCTAGCCTGCAAACCCCTGAAGATTTCATTCGAGTGAATGCCAGTGGCAAGAGTATCCAGGACATATCTTTACACAAGAAATGGTGAAATATATGGGTGGCAACGTTTTACTGGATGTCTTCTCGGTTCAGGTTGGTATTTTGATAATGCAAGCGGTCCTTGATTGGAACTACTATACTGTAAATAAATCTAAATGACTTGCTTTTAGTTGGACTAATGCAACATTGCAAACACGTACTGTCCCTGTGTTGAATGTGCGATTCTCTGCTCACACCTGCGTTGGCCGGGTGGCGGCCTCGCCGTAGCAAGAGTCTAGTTTTTTGAGCTCATCTAGGTGGAAATGATTTACGTGGATTCGGAATAACAACAAAGCATCTTGCTTAGGGACTCTACACAACCTGAACGGTGCTGATTCGGCAAATCGAGATGGAACTGCGGCAGTCGAAAATGGGTACCACAATTGTCGGAGTGGGCATAGACATGTGCAAATTCACCGTATGCGATTCGGGATGTCAAACGAATCAGCACAGCAGATTTTGTGAGTTTATTATTCAGTTAAATCATACCTATATTTTTTCTGGGTGGCGCAGTTGCGCTGTTTTTTCGTTTTATGATATTATTCTGTAGCACAGCATTTATTGCTGAGAGATAGCCTTGGGCTGTAGTAAAGGTCACGTTCCTTCCTCTACGTATCTCTACGCAGTTGAGCAGCAATAAGAGCTGAGCGCGAACTGGTCAATAGTCCTACCAGAACTTCCTTGCCAGTCTGGTCAACTCTCGGGGCTCGTTTGGTTCCCTTAGAATCTCTAGGGGGGATAGATTTGAGCTGTTCCTGCTGCTGCCCGCAGAACAACTTGGAGTTTTTTGTTGGCTCGAAGCTTTTTGAATTGGAGGTAAATTGCATAACCATTAGCTTTAAGTGGCATACTCCTATATTTGTATGGTTAATTTAAGTCTCGTTCAGCTTGTTCAGGTTGGCTTAGATTTATTGTTTTTTTTTTACAGAATGGAGTGGTTGTCTCAGCGAACAGTACTGTATTAGTCGGAGTGAATGCTCAATCGAAAGACGAATGTACTTGTCCCGTATGGCGTCCACCACCTCAGTGTCTGGCAGGACTGTGCCACAATGAGGGCGTCTGTCACAACACTCATCCGGGATTCTTGTGAGTTTTTCGCCATCTATCTTGTTGTTTTCTTCATTCTTGGGAAATAGCTGTTTTCCAATTAATTTGTATCTGAAACATTTGTGTGGGCAGTTGAGAAGCTTTCAGATAGAGGTCCTAACATGCTTAGGCTGTTGTGATTTCTAAGCCCTACTAGTGAATCAGTTTTTAATCTTATGTACATGCTTAGCGGCTCTTTATCTTCTATTCCTATTTTGTGTTTCCAGCTGTGAGTGCCGCAACGACCTCCTAAAGGGAGCAAGGTGTCAGGGAACAACGCGATCGTTCTCAGGAGATGGTTTTGCTTGGTATAAACCAATGCCGGCCTGTACAAGTCTCAACATCAGCATGCAATTTATGACACTGTAAGATTACAATACTTTTCGGCTTCACTTAGTGTTTCCCCATTGGTTAAATGTGGCTTGGTTTAGTCAACCCGATGCTGTCCTTTTCTACAACGGCCCGATGGACACAAAAACGACGGAGAAACAAATCGACTACAGGGACTACATCATTATTCACCTTAGAGGAGGTCGTCTTGTGATGGAGGTTAGAAAGGCATTTCCATTGTACGAAAATTGCATCGATGGTAACGCCGGTGTTTTTATGGGCATAATTAGTCGTCGTGATGTTTTTTATCTGACGACGTTGCAGATGTCGATGAATGGCATAGCACCAGTCAACCTTGAGGTGGCATCAACAGCCTTGAATGACGGAACGTGGCATGAACTCGCGGTGACGCAGATTGGAAAGGCGAGTTTTTCGAGTCCCAATAGTTTCTCCTGTTTGTTTGGGGTCTGAAAGGGATTATCGGCATACGGTATATGGAAGATTACGTTCGTCAAGGCTATTTCAGTTGAGGGTTGCTATGCTTGACTTCTAATGTTTTAGCGGGATCTGAATAGGATGATCAATCTGGTTGAGTTTTTAAGAAGTATTTTAGTCAGGGCTAGGTCGGGGTTCGGGCGCGTATTGGTTCATAATGCCCGGAATTAAAGCGCGCAACCAACTTTATTTCATTTGTTAGTAGGAATTACTGGCTGCTAGCAATGATAGCGCCTGGGTTAGTTGCGTTTCATACCTCCAAGCAAGGGTGGCTCTGTGCGCTGACAATCACAGTCAAGCTTTCGCGCCTGTCTGTGCCACAGCCTGCTGGCGTCTCATTAGGTGGTTTGGGAAAAGCAAATTGGGAGAGTATGAGAGGTCCAAAAATGAAAATGATCTGGAAATTTTAAATTGTTCATTGAATTGTTGTGCTTGATGCTTGCGGATGACTTTCTATTGATTTTGTGCTTATGAATTTCTTTTAGTACATTGAGCTTGTGGTTGATCAATGCCGCTATCTTGGCGCTGGCTCGGATGATTCATCGTGCCGGAAATGGCTTTACACACCCGATGATGACGAACGTCTCAATATTGTCGCTCCGGTGCAAATCGGAGGTATGGTTTAGAGTTGAAGATGTTCTAAGGCTCATAGGAAGGCTCATTGAATGTGCTGTTTAGGTCTTGCTCCTCTAGCGAACGGTCAAGCCTATCCATCAGCAGTACCGCGAACAGCTCTGAGTGGATGCGTCCGTAATCTTAGGGTCAACGACGATCTATATGATCTCGCAACACCGGCTTATGAAAAGAATTCCGCCAGCGGATGCAAACTATGGGGTGGAGCATGTGATAGCAATGCTATTGACAGCCTTACCCATTGTGTCCACGGAGACTGTTACGCTGATGTCCAGGTGGGGCTAAAAATTATTAGTTACCCGATTGTTTACTAGTTTGTGCTTGCTAAGAGAGGTTGTTTGGATGTTTCTTTTGTTACCAAGTAGAAGAACTCGTTACAGGGCAGTACATCACTCGTTCCGAAATGCATCTGTGATCCCGGATGGGGTGGTGCTCGTTGTGAAAAGAAAATCGAATGGATTCAAATGCAATCGGGTGGCTTTATCGATTACTCGCCAAAAATCGCTTTTCCCTGAACAAACGAACGACATCGAGTTACTATTTATTCCGGGACGAGTCAGCGGCGCCGCTGAAGCTCACCTCTGGAGGATTAATGCACAGTGAGTAAATGGAAAGTTATGCCCGTTACTGTAGTGCTACCTAGCCGGTAGTTACGGGTACAGTGGGTTTGGATGTGGCATAGGAATTAGTTGAATAGATTTGACGAAGTTTCAATTGCTAGTTTAGGTGCTAATGTAAAAGGGAATGCCGCTGCTAGGCGAAACATTCTTGCTGTACCCCATTTTAAAACTTAGTTTCCAATTTATCTGGGGCGCCGAAATTGTTTTTACGAAGTCGCTCTCTTACTGTCCGATTTGTGGACTCTGACTGGTGGGTTATCAACTTTTTTCCCCCGTCATCGTCTGTGAGCAGAAAAGAGACTTCTCTTTCCAGAATTACGTCTCAACGTCAGCTGAGATGACTTCCGATGGCCTGACGCCAATGGCCAAGTTTGACCTTGGCGGAGTACGGAATTCTCTTACGCAGCTTCGGATCAACGAGCTGTCGCTCAAGGAGAACTCTTCCTACTGGATGCATTTCACGAGGAATCCTACTCGGTTAGTTGGACTCTTCCTGGGAACTTTGCAACTGTACTACTCGGGGGTTACTGAAATTGAAGGGCTGATCATATCAGACCTTCTCAGACTTCGGAGGGCAATGACGCGCGCTGAATGTACGCTGGTGTCAATTGTCTTATTTCCAATGAAAGATGGCTTAGCAGCTTTGCGCTAATTTCCTGATTTATCTGTTGTTTTAGAGCGTCGCTATCAATCGACGACGCGTACTTTACATCACAAGTGCTGGATCCAACCGGTAATTCGCAGTCGTTTGCTTTACAAGTCAACGAGTTATTCCTCGGAACGCACAGTGGTGGACGAGGTTTCCAGGTTGGTATTGAGAGTGCCACTAGAACATTCACAAACAATCCATTTACCTGCTATCAATGCCCAAATATAATATGTTCGCCATTGAAGGGATGTGTTGGGACGTATCGATGGTCAAATCAGAACCTTCCATTGCGTCGTCCATCCAATCAAGCTGTTGATCCAGACGATGAGAGCATAGTTTCGATCACAAAATCGGAAGGAGTGTCTGATGGTGAGTGTTTTGTCCTTGTATTTTTTTCTTATTCCTCTCTGGTCGTTGTCCTTGAGAAACGAGGGTTTCGGCTAGCTTTTGGAATGGCATTGATTCAACTAGACGAGGCAGTTGGAAGAAGGGATAGGGAACAAAGAAAGGCAAGGTGAAGAGGTGGAATCGCGGTTTCTAATTTTAGGTCCCAATTTCTGAAATCGACAGGTGTAAAAATGTCCCGATTTTTGAGTTAACCAAAAACATGTTTTGTGTTGTTGGTTCTTTAGTCGGGTCTTCTGTGTAAGATTTGGTGGATAGGATAACCGTTTCAACAGAACTTATAAGGTGTCTTTCCTTCGTCTTCATGTACTTGTTAAGTGAATCTACGATTGTTAAGTTCTTCATTTAATTCGCATAGTGAAGCTTTAGGTTAGGTACTTCCTTCTTAGCCTTTCCTCCTTTCT